CAGTAGAGCTGCTGCACAGCCTGTTAGCTTTGAACTATGAAATGAGCTACAACTAAAATACTCTGCATTTGGCTCTTCATCTTACTGCTAAACTTCCCTCTATTTATAATATATAAATAAACAAAAATCAGAATTGTTTTAACTTGGTGCATGTGGTGGTCTGTTTCTTTTACAGGCTCTGCACCTCATTGAAGAGATGGATTTGAATGATGATAAAAAACTTTCTGAAGCAGAAATTCTTAAGAACCAAGATTTGTTTCTTAACAGTGAAGCAACAGATTATGGTAGGCAGCTTCATGATGAACGTTTCTACCATGAAGAACTTTAGGTTATTTATTTTGTAATCTTTTTTTCTTCCCTTTCTTTCATTTGAAGCTTTTGTTAAAAGCACTCATCATCTGCATTGCAAGTTTCATGCTGTAATTACAATACACTAATGTTTGTGTAAATAATTTGCATTCAGAATTAAATTGCCCTCCTGTAAACTTCCTAGGCCTCTTTTAGCCTTCAAAATTAATTTGAAATACTTGCTATCAAAATTCTGTAGTGTTGGGAAATAAATTACTTCAGGGTAGTACTGTATTGTGAAGAGTTGTTCTACTGTACTTGAAGAAAATGGAGAATCTAGATGGTTCTGAAAGAATGCAAAATATAGTAACTGAGACTACTATTTTTCTAATCAATTAAATTAGGGCAGAGTGTGGGGAAGGTGGGGGGATGTTTAGAGTTAGTATTAACTGTGTTTTGTTTAATACCTTTGGAGAAATACTTGCATAAATGCCTCAGTTGTTTAAGAGGTTTCTACTTGATTTTGAATGGTTTCTATACTGTGTTTTACTCTATCATAAAACTTGCTATTTTTACATCAATAGACAAGAATTATTTTTAATGTACAGTTGTAGAGCGTTAGCAATGCAGTGGTATTTTACTGTGTCGAGACCTTCTTCATTTGTTGGATTAAAACTTAAAATGTTCTATCTTTCTGTGTTTTGTACATCTATTTCTCACCTTGGGTCACCCATAGCAGCTCCTGGAGATGTGAGCAATGTGCATAATGTCCAGTGGCAGCATTCTTGGCTTTATTAACCAGAGATTTGTCATCTTATCTGGCTGCTAAAGAAGATTCAGAAAAAAGCAAGGTGTACATTTAGCATTTTCTGGACAAGTTTGCAAAAGCAATTGTGTTTATTTTTTTATTTGTAGCATATGGAAGGCTAAAGCTTCAAGGCATTACATAAATAATATTTGTAGTAATAACCTCTGAAAGTTAACCTCAGCTGAAAGCTCCACAAGTGACTGCTGTCCCATTTTGTGATTATTTGAAATAAGGGTTAATGAAGGGTTAATGGCACTATAGGTTCAGTGTAGGAAAGTCCAGATATTCACTTCTGTCTTCTGGAAAGAAATGAGCTGAGTATTCCAAAGACTCACAGAACAGCTTGTGTGGTGTGTGTTAGGGTTTTTTAATTCCTTTATAAATAACTCTTGTAGTGCTCTCACAGTGCTCTCCTTGACTAATGTTTTCCTTCCTCCCAGCTCTGTTGAGTGAAAGCAGCTAGTTCTGCCTTGTTTTTTTCCCAGGATACCACCTCTTAATTATGCCCAGAACAAACGGAATTCCTTTTGGGGTAAGTGCTAATGTGTCAGTAGAAGGTTAGAAATTTTGATTCAAAGCAGAACCATGTACACTATATTTTTAGATGTCATAGTAATAGAAATTCAAAACACTTTTTCAATTTTAGTGGCTGAATTTTTTTCTACCCATATTTTTTTAATGTCAGTTCCTTGGGAATATGAGTACAGCTCTTGCCAATAGTGGTGGTGAGATCTGATTTTCAAAAAAATGAAGTCTAATAAATCCAGTGTGCCTAGAAATATTAAAACAAACAAAAAAAATTGTAAACTGACTGGTGGTGTTTCTAAATGAGCACATATGCAGAGTATTGGCTAAAATGTGCTGAAGGAAGCTAAAGTGTTGTCTCCCATGATGCTGAACAAATCACTGCTGCTGAAGAAGGGACATTTGGTCCAGAGGCAGACTTGCTGGAGATGATGTCTGGGACACAGATCCAAGGGTCCTTTTGAGACACAGAAACCTTCTCAGCAGCACCTGCATTGCCTGCTTGGCTAATGAATGTGCAGTACTTGCAAATGAGTAGTGATTTGCTGTGAATTAAGGCATAGAGAAAGACAGTGTGTTGATAAAGCATTCAAAAGTTGTCAGAGAAATTAAAAACATCTTTCAGAAGTTACCTGAATTTATAACAAGAAGAGGGCGCAAAAACCCAAATAGTTTCATTTTCTCTTTCACAAAGTACTTTTATTTTTCTCCCAGGAACAGCCCGATCCTGTTTGTGCTATTCAAGGCCCCAGTGACATTGCACTTCTCCACAGTTCCCTTTTTCCTTTGTTTGCCTTTGAAACATCTTCAGGGGTAATGATAGTTTAAACCCATACAGAGCACAAAAAGACCCCACATTTCTATGATACAATTATGTTATATACAAAGTATCACAGTGTTAATTCTAGAGGAAATCCATTCATGTTCTTTATGATTATGGCAGAGGCTGATGATCTTTCTCTTGGGTAAAACAGCAAAACAGGGTCCACCTTTCAGTGATGGCCTCTATCAGAAACTGCTGTGAAATGTTGCATAAGAGGATTTTACTGAAGCAGAAGGCCAGCAGGACTGTCTTGCACTGCGAGACTGCTTTTGGAAGGCTGTTGCAGCAGTTCCCTCTAACAGGAGCAGAGGGAGTTCAGTTTCAGGGCCAAACAGAGCCTGGGGTGGGGTGTGGGCTGTGCTGGAGCAGCCTCCAGCCACAGCCACGATGGCCCAGAGCAGCTGGAACAAACCAAGCCAGGTGTTCCGAGGCTGCAGTTTCAGTTTCCATGGGAACACAGACTGGCTCCTCGCAGAGGGCAAGGTGATTTCAACATTTTGAATGGGTATGATATGGGATCATTTGCAAGCCCCTGCCATTGCCTACGTGGAAATTCAGAGCTCATTCGTATGGAATCAGAGCACAGCAGCTGAATTGTGTCTATTTCAGCCATGGTTCTCCTCTGGCAGTGGTTTCCTTGCCTTTGCTGTCCCCAGGCTGTGGGGCCCAGATGGACACCAGGAGCTGGGCTGTTGGAGTTTGGACATGGCTGCACTGCAGCTGTTGTTTGGAAGCCGTATGTCAGATGTAAGGTTCAGGGGGCTGGGAAGGACTGCACCAGTGCCTTCCAGTCTCCATTGGCATTTCCCAAAGCACCATTCCAAGGGACCACAATACACCTGAGGAATTCTGACAATTGTCTTCTGCCTTAAAGCTTTTCATGGACTCCCTCATCCTCTTGCTATGTATAGTAAAAGTCAGAAACATTTCCTCTGAAGAATGTCTTGCTTGGCATCCTGGATGAGCACAAAAATGTTTGTAGATGCTATTTTCATATTTTACCTACTGTCAAATCCAAATCTGCCACCCAAATCCCTGATAAAAAGTTTTGCTCAAAGTAGTATATAGTCGAAAATTAAAACTGATTTTTTCTTAAAAAATCAGACTTACCCTGACTTTTTACTACAGAATGAAAATGGTACATTCTGCTGCCAACCAATTTAATTACTGGGGGGAAAACCCTCAGGAAGTGTGTTCTTGGCACTATGAAACAGAACACCTGATTTTTAACCTCTAAGAGCAGAGGTGGAAGGAGAGGCAGTGGCTGTCAGGCAAGAGTTCCACTTAAGGCTCCTTGTTGACACTGCTGGATTCCCGAGTGAGCCTGTCCAGTCAGGCTGAAATCCCGTTAGTGCTGGAACCAGGAACAGTTGCTTGGAACTCCCCAAGGCTGGCGCTCGGCAGCCAGCTCGGCTGGAGCGCGGTTCTCTTACATGGCGCTGACGGTCTGCGCGCTTCGTCCTGATTGGCTGAACCCGCGGCCACCCGGCCAGCCAGCCAATGGCTGCTCGTGTCCGCTCCGGTTACACAGCTGAGGTCATTGGTTACCTTTCGGTTATGGCGCTGGGGTTATGTGTAACTGTGAGGCCTTCGGGCCAGCTGTTAGCACCACAGCCTTGGTGTCCTGTTCCTGCTTAGAGCAGAGGGGATACGGAATTGTGTCCCCCTTGTAAAGCCCTGCAAAGCCTGGCTACCCCTGCACGGCGCAGCGCCCCATGGACATAACCCAGCGCCACCAGGACCTGGGGCAGGGACCCAAATCAACCCAAATCTGCTTCATCACAGCCGGGGCTGGGACTCACACCAGCTACTCTGACAACTCCTCAAAGTACATGGACTGGAGACCTGCTCAGGGCTGTTCCGAGGAGCTCACCACGGCACAGTGAACTGCCCGTGCTGATGGCGTTGGAGCCAGCATCCCTGGGAGCTGCTGGGAGGTGACTGTGCTGCACCAGAGCTCTTGGGTGGCATGGGTGCCGGCACAGCCCAGCGTGAGGTTCAGTCAAATAATTGGCTTTGTGGTTGGAGGCCAAACTAAAAATAACAGGAAAGTAGTGTAACATTTTAGAGGGCTAAAACACGCTCAGTTTATTTTTATGAACCCCTACAGCAGCAAAGATGGTTTCAAAACACAGCTGTAACTTGGAAATAGCAACAGGAAACATTTGGGTTTGGAAGGACTGAGATAAAACACTCTAAAAAGATCCTTTTATTTTTGGATACAGATCAAGTATGACCAGTGCCCATGCCCTCAAAATACATTTTTTCAAGGAATTTTCCCTTCTGGAAGAAAGCTTCACTCCTTTCTCCTCAACACTGTCTGCAAGTGAATCCTCACATTTCTCCTCCCACTCTCATGCAATGATGCTTTCTTCCTGCTACACCTCTGACCCTCCAGACTCTCTCTACTTGCACCTCATTTTCCCTCACAAAGTCCCTGCACATTCCCTGTCTTCTTCAGACCATCAGGAAGAAACCTTGCAAAATCTTTTAAACACCAGCTACAGGAGTGAGTAGGGGCAACTGCAGCCCGCAGAGCTCTGAGCAGAGCCCGAGCCCTGCTGGAGCCCAGGGAAGTTGCAAGACTTCCTCACTCCGGAATGATCTGCCCGGGGCTGCTGCTGGGGGCAGCAGGGAAACAGCAGCGCCCAGAGCAGCGCCAGTCAGTCGGTTGGAAATCAGTAAGTCCTGATGTATTCTTGGTGGGGACAGACAGCTTTTGCATGGGCAACCACCACAGGACTATTTTTCTTTTCTTTTCCTACACCCCAAAAATGCGAGTGAGTATTTAAAAACAGGTATTTAAGAATGCTTAAAACATCCTAAGAAGGTGAACAGAAGCAACCTCACCTAGAGGAATTTCTAATCTTCTACTGACACTAGAGGATAAGTGCTTTGGAGAGGGTTTCAGGGAAGCTTTAGTAGCGTTACCCTGTGCTCAGGTAGTTGCAGCTGTGTTATAACAACTGGAGGAGCTGATTTGGGGAGCTGCCTGAAATACCTGGTGTCAGCAATGTGCTGAGTGTGGTCTGAGTGCTGCTGCTTCACTGGTCTGTGAGGCTTCGCTCAGGTCCTGGTAGTAACAAACTCTTAGCTCTCTTCTTTTTCAAGACTTTGGATTTTACTTCTGAATTTCACATATCTTGCATATTCATATGAACGTTTATGTGAGTGCATGCAAATCAGGAGTGTTCTCAACATTGACATCCAGGTATCTAAATGTGTGCAGACACCTGCACACTTCTCAGGGTTCTTAATTTAGCCTGAGTCCTGAAAAGCCTTTCCAGCTGCAAAATGCAACTTTGAGCTAAGCTTCTTGTGTGCAAGGGCATGGGCCTCTGCCAGCCCCAGAAGGTGCTGCAGAAATGGGGCACCTATGTTTCTTTTGCTTCTTTTTCTTTGCAAAACCACATCTTTAGAGAATAGCTTGTCTCTGTGTATTGTGCTGGTTTCTTTTGCACTGTAATTGTCCTCTCTCTTCCTGCAGCCGATCAAATCATATCACTGAACTTAGTGCCTTTTTTTCCCCCTCTATTTTTTTCCTGTCCGCTCACATGCACCCATGGCAAGGAGCGGCCTGACACCATTTGACATCTCCTTGCTTCCTCATTTCAATATTAACTGTTCACCAGAAGAGAAACAGGTTTGGGGTGCGGGTGCTGAGCACTTGCCTGTCTCTGCGTGTGAGCCACAGCTCTTTTGCCCTCTGTCCCTCACAGCCACAGGTCATTTCTCTGAGCTGCCTGGGACAGCCCCATGCTAGTGGCACCAGCCTGACTTCAGGAGGGACAGGTCTGTGGATGTGCTGCACTCTCTGCTTGGGCTGGGGTGCAGTGACAAGGCTCAGAGCTGTTCCTGCTGCTGCTCTCACCCCACAACAGACTTGCTGAAGGATTCCTACCCCTCCACAGAGCAATAATAATGACCCAGCTGCAGTTTAAAGATGCTTTTTGGGTAAGTGAGCATTTACTATGCGTTTCCTATATTCAATGTATCTGTATTTTAAATTTTTTAAAAACACAGCTTGGTTCTATATATAGTTTAAAACTAATTTAATGCTGTTCTGTGTTCCCAATTTAGTTTAGTAAAAATCCAAATTTGTCTCCAACCAAAAACATGGTGTTTAGTAATGTGTTTGATCCTGGGCAGAAGGATGCAGTGTAAAGAATCTGTCCAGTCCCTATAAAACCACTGGCATTCCCAGTTCCTGTGCTAGGGCCAGAAACCACTTTTGAAAGGGACATGGATTTGTCTGTCTCACAGTGCTAAGAACCTGCTTGCAGTGAGTGTCCTCAGCTCTAGAATGGCTCCCAGAGCAGGTGAGCTGTTGCTAATTATAGGCTAAATTCCCTCCTGTTTAGTGAAGAGCAGAGCCAGCAGCTGTGAGCAAAATGCTCCCGCACAGCTCCCTCCAGGCTCCCACCCTGCTGCCAGGAGCATTCCCCGGCATGCAGAGCCCAGGAGCTGTGAGGCAGCACAGGTTAGAAAGGATCAGCAGTGACACTCCACAGCTAAGCCCAAACTCAAAGCTGACCTAAAAAAACAGCAAATACTGAAATGAGAAGATCTGCTCCATACTTGTTATTTGACTTTTGTTTGAAAATCCTTTTGGTCTCCTGTTTTCAAGCTCTTTCCCTGCAGTTACAAGGTAAAAGGACCTTAGTCATTTCTCTCACTATGATAATCTGAGGCTCTCTTGCAATTGGAGAAAGTCCAAAATCAAAATTCTGTCGTTGCAAAGTCGAGTAAACAGGATGTTATGTGGTTGCCTCTTTTCTGGGCAATCATTTATCCACATCAAGGACTGACTTAAAGAAAGACATGAAGCCGTATGAATTTTTTCTGCCATTGCCTGGCTGTTCTTTCTGCTTGTGCTCTCTTTCTCTCCACCCACGCTTCAGGGTAAACCCTCTCTTGGTAGAAAACAGAAGGGCAGAGGCAAAAACACATTTCAGTGAACCACCATCCTCCAAGCACTTCCAGGAAGCCCTCCCCACCCCCACTGCAATACTAGATTTGAACAGTTAAAAAGAATAAAAATACAATGAGGAAATACGAAAGTCAGTGTTGATGTTAGGACTAACTGTGCATGACCACACCTATGTGAGATTCTCCTCATTTGTGCACCCACTGAGTGCACAGTGCACTGCACAGGGTGGGACACAGCTGTGGGCCAGTGCTGCCCTGCGAGCTTCAGCCCTTGCATTGCTGAACTTCCTTGGAAAACAAGCCACCTGACTTTTAGAGCTGGTATATTTGGTATAGTTACTTTTCAATGCCTTGGTCTTCAGGGAGAATCAATCAAGCTCTGGGAGTAGTGTGAGGGTGATTAATGCCAGCTGACAATCTGGCCAGGCTGGTTCTTCATGGCTCTTCTTCCCTAAACTTCTCTCCTGTGCTTAGTCACATTACCATGACTCAAATCCTTGCTTAGCTTTGAAGCTAACAGCTTATTTAAAGGAAAGCATCTTTGGATTTCTTTATTTTTTGGCTGGAAATGTATTGCCCAGCTTGATTGAGAGGGCAGGAATGTATCTGATTGCAGCACAGAAGCTTTAGCTACGCAGTAAGTCTTTAAAAGTGAAAACTTACAGGATATTGCACAACACAAGTGTGCAGCATGCCCCCCAGATCACAAGATCAGCAAATATTTTTGCATTCATAAGGATCTGTTGTGAGAGGAAAATGTATTCATGTGGTTTGCTTCAGCAGGCAATTATTTCCTGTATTTGGTCTGTACACTGAACAGAAACTGCTTTTCTGATTGACACCCAAAAAGTGTTTGCCCCGTGGTGGGTGCCTCAACACAGAGCCCTGATCTCTGATTGCTGCACCCCCTCTCTGTGCTTCACCCTGATGAGGTGTCCCTGAACAACAGCTCCCTACTCCATCATCAGGGAACTTTTGGATAAGCAGGCGTTTCTGCAGGACCTGCCTCAATGTAAAATATGTAAAGAAACCCTAAAAGCAGGAGATGTCCCAACTAGCAGAGAAAGAGCACCATTCATCCCTCCCCAAAGTTCTTCTTGTTCATAGAACAGGGTGTGCTGTCGTCCAGGAAAATGCAACTTGTTCCTCATAACAGGTTTAAGTTTTATCTCTCTTCCAAATAAATGTAGCAGTGATAGTACTATACTAAAACTTCCACACTTAGTTAATTTGTAATTTTTTTTGTAGCATAGCCTGAGCAAAACCCGTGGTTTTTTTAATTACATTTTTATTTCTATATACTCCACACTCTCTGTAATGGTTCAAGGGACAGCTGCTCGAAGTCTGCACTAAAATGTGCTTCTTAGAAAAAGTTTTCTGTCCTCTGATAATATTTTTTGGAAAATGTTAGTGAGATGGAAATTCAGATCGGGTTTGATAGCCATTGCAGGGCAGTTGCTGATGGATTAATATTCTGCTGGGCTGCTGTACAAGCCTGGCAGATGTTACCTGTCTTCTCTAGCATCATATGAGACAGGTAGGGAAATGTCCATGGTAATGGGGAGTGTGTATGTGGCACCAGCCGAGTTCCATGTTAATGGGGTTGTGTTAACAGGCAGAGCAACAGTAATTTTTTTTTGTTACAAAAACCACTATCTGAGAAAATCTTTCCCCCTCAGTCACAGTGTCTTTCTGAGTCTCATTCTCTGTTCTTGCACTCATTGTTGCTTTTCCTTTGCAATTTCTGTCATTGCCTTTTCCTTCTATTTAGTCTCCCTCCAACCTGCTGCTCAAAACTGCAGCTGCAGCCCCTGAAATGCAGCTATTTCTGGCCAAGAGGTAGGAAGGTACTGGCACCACTTCCTGGCTTTCCATACCCACCTGGGAACAGGGAATGAGGGAAAGAGGAGGAGGAGCTGGTTGGTTTTGGGGCAGGCTCCAAAGTGCCCAGAGTTGAGTGGGAGCAAATCTATTCTCTCGTACAGCTTTGAATCAAACTCAAGCAGCCAAGTCAATTCTGAAAATATGTCATGGGCTCCTTAAAAATAAGTGCTTGAAGTGTGAAATGCTTGCTCCTTCTCAGTTGTGGGATGAGCTTGGAGCTTGTGAATTCTCACAGCTTACATATAAAAGTGTGGGGGTGATGCAGGCCAGCAAATATGAAGCAGGCCTTGAACATGAGCTGGCAGGATTTGCTCCCCTGCCCTGCTGTGGGCTGGTCCTTTCACAGCCCTGCCTGTGGACCCGTGGTTGTGGTCAGACACTGCAGCAGAGGGAGTCATGGAAGTGCTCCAGGAGCAGGGACTGTCACAAAGATGCTTAATGTCTGTTGCTTTGATTTCAGGCTATGTTCAACCTCAGGTTCAGTGTGAAGTTGACTTTGTATATTGAGCCTCTCAACTCCTACTGTAGCTTTTTTCACACAATGGTCTGTTATAGACGCCAAAAAAGATGTAATTAGCTTCACAAATAATTTAGCTTCTGATGAGACTCTTAACTGTGGAACAAGAGCTCCGTGGTGATAAAAGTCACAGTAAAGCTATTTCCTGAACTTATTAGGCAACATGCTGAAGAAATACAGCATCAATTGTTTTACTCAATATAGGAAGTTTTTTTATACCAGGAGCTACCCTGTTTTCCTGTAGAGGTTGAGCTTTGCAGGGCCCATTGTTTTGCAGCAGGTATGTGAGGAGGAAGTGATACTGGGCAGGTTTGTTGGGAGGAACTGGAGCTGGGGAAGCTCCTGCCAGCCCAGCACCCTGAGGCTGAGCTCGGGCAGACAGGAATGAAGCTGGCAAACCTTCCAGCCTGGCATCCCAGCTTTGCAAGTGGGTGCCACCAAATTTGATTTAAATGGCATGGCACCAATTGCATCTGACCCTACTGACACAAGGCAGGTTAAGATAAATCATCTCCCTGCACAAGAGCACACAGGTGGAATCTTCTGTCAGCATGTCCTGCATCTCCCTGAGCTCCAGAGGCAGAGGCATGGCCATGGTCCTGCACTCCCTGAGCTCCAGAGGCATGGCCATGGTCCTGCACTCCCTGAGCTCCAGAGGCATGACCATGGTCCTGCACTCCCTGAGCTCCAGAGGCAGAGGCATGGCCATGGTCCTGCACTCCCTGAGCCCCAGAAGCAGAGGCATGGCCACAGCACTGGTCACATCCAGGCCAAGTCATCACTGCAGGATGTGTAGAAATGGGGAATGAAGGGGGAACCAGCTTGGAAAAGTTGGACTGATTGCCCAGCTGATGCCTGTGTTTGCTGTGAGGTCGACTTTATCTCCACAGAAGAGGCTGCTGTACTGGTTTTTTACATGTAATTTCTTCCACCATTTTTCCAGCTGCTCTGGGAAGGACACTTGGCTCCCTGGGGCAATGAGAAGCACCCATGGAGGGTGGAGGGGGAGCAATCACAGCCGTCATTGAAACTAGAGGAAATTACAAGTAGAAAACCTGAGCAGTCACTGTGGCTATGGAAACACTGGTGCTTCACAAGTCATTTCTGGGCAGAGCACAACAGCTGAAATGAAGCTCAAATGAACTAACACTAGATGAATGGATTTACAGAGTTCATTTTGGGTCAGTGACTGAAATAATTAGACAGTTAAATACAGTTTATTATAATTTTCTGATGACCATGTTGCAACTGAGAGGTTTGAATACTAAAATTCGTTGATTGATGAATTAAGTCACTGTGACGACTTTGTTAGTATTTTTACACAACTGTATCTGGTTTGTTTTGATCCATCCTGCTCTGCAAAAGTTGGTTGGTTTTACTTGGGCTCAGGGAAGGGGAGGATTCTTATTTCTGCCAATTTTAAGTGTGCCATGAGTCTGTATTTTAAATATGGAGTAGGTGAGTCATGGACTCTTTGCCCACATGTACACGGCCACGTCTAACCAACACCACTTAAAGAGTGTTTGTCACACCCAGCTTGAAATGGAGCCTCACTCAAAGGTCAGAGGATGTCTCTGGCTTGTTAGAGCAGCCCACTGAGGTGCATTTTCTGAGGCAGAATGGC